ACCAGCCGGACAAATGTGCACAACGTTTGCCTCTTTTAGAGTTTTTTTTTAATAGACACGTGACAATTGCGTTAATACGGTCTTTTAAAAGTTGTCCGTAATTTGCTTTACGAGTTTTTTCCTCATTGTAAGCAGCATCCATTGCATCGGAAACATAATGTTAAATTTTATGCCTTCGACGGAGATGGAATTGTGAAAATTTTGATAAATTCGGAACTCTAATTTTACTTTGGATCTAAAAAATTACCAGTTGACCCGTGGGATTTTCACACACTACGGTGATCGTTCACTGGGTGATCATTCACTGAACGGTAATATAACAAATGTGTTAATAATTATTTATTAATTAGAGGTTCTTTTTATATGAGCAGTCTACTTCGCTATCTTTCATTTAAATAATTAGACAATAGGTGACAATAGGTTATCATGGCTTCATTATAAGAAATTTTTTAAATGAAAACTTTTTTTTATAAAAACTATAGTTTTATTCTGTTCGTCTATTTTTTAAATTCTATAAAGGCAAAAATAAGCTTTTGTGCTTATGTTTGGACTTCAAGTCATTAAATTTGTTGTTGTGAGTTGTGAAAGTATTATCGTAAAAAAAAATAAAACACCTTTGAGAAATCATATATGGAGATTCTTGACTATTAGCAAAGTAATTATTTCTGTATTAATCATCCAGGGCAAATGTAAAATCGCAACGACCAGTTCGATAATTAAAAATAAGCCTGAAGACAACAGGACACCCAGAACTTGGAGTGATATAGGATTGAGAAAGGAAGCCTTGAATAGATCGAACTGGACAGACTGGCTGTTGTTGCTGAATGTTGATGCATGTATTATCTCTTCATATTTGTAATAAAATAGCTCAGTGTCCGAGCGCTCGCCTAATTCAATATACTCGATCAACATTAGTTCGATTCCCGGTGCCGGCACCAATGATATTGTTAATTTTAAGTGCCGAATTATCACTGCATATTTTCGAGATAATAACACAAAAAAATAATACTTCCAAGACATGTGAAGTTCGCCAATCCACAGTGGCCTTTTCCCAGCAGTGAGACATGTATGGGCTGATACTTTTACTTTTTTTTATTTGTAATAATAAAATTTAAAAAAAAACCTGGCTGCAAATATTACGTCTGCGTATTTCGTAACAATAAATTCGAAAAAGGAACGCGCCACGAGCGAGGCGCGAAACGGAACGCTAAAAGTGTTTTCACACAATACGCGGAGTTGCTAGCTAGATGCTATCGCGCGATCTCGCATAAACAACGCGGCGGGCGGCGGGCGGCGGCTCTACGCGTGCATCCCGTTAGTTACGACGTCACGGAAATATTCGACCTGCTACCTCCGTATGTTAACAAGCGCCGTATATCAAATTTAGAGTGTTTATTATGTTAAAACGAATTGATAAGACGCAATGCATACGGCGAATTCTCTGTTAACATTTCAATTAACACCCAATAAAAATATTCTCTTGAATTATCTGCTTAATAAAACTATTAAAAGCTACTGAAACACTGTACTCAGTCTAAACTGGTGGTTAAAAGAATATAAAATTTGGTGAGAACTAAATAAGGAATGTTGAACATTAATTTGGAGAGTTCATTAATAGGGGAGTTGTTAATTCTATAAACAAGAGTCAATTGCTTACTGTTGTTATTATGAACAGTTTGAATAACAGAACTGGTTCACGTGTAGTAAATAAATTATGTGCTCCCATAACTTCAATATACTTATCAAAATAACTATAAAACGGAAATGTTTTCATATTGATTCAAAAAAGCAACACATTCGCGACGAGCGCAGGCCAAAAAAGCTTTTTGTATATTACGTAACGTAATATAACGTTATAACTTAGATAAGGTTAAAACGTGTGACATTAATGGCGTTAACGTATAGGTTTTCGCGTGTAACAGATTCAGGAACAACACGTCGCAACGGGTAAAGCGGCAGAGCGGTTTGCGCGACAAGGGAACAATACGAGGCCGTTCAGAAATGGGTCACAAGAGCTCGGTGTCAAGAGTGTCACAAATAGAGGCAGGGTCTGGCGGGTTCAGGCGCATAATAGATTGTCAGGTGTTGCGACTTATCTGATGAACGGCGAAGCGCGTCACACTCCGCTTTGTGCACTAGCCTTTGCCTACGGCGTTTCTTTTTAATACCGTCTACTGCCTGTCCATCTTTCTGTCTGGTTACAATGTTTGTTGCCTTCATGGTTACAGTGAATAACTGAATATCCTTTCTACTGGGTTAGAGCGGTTGCCAACAATGATTGCACTACATTAGGGATTGTCGTCAAATACTTTACGAAACAACAGTAACTTTAGTTGAACAGTCGCGTTAACTGTCTCCGTCAATTCATTCGAATCTGTACAGCCGGTTCCGCGACGAGAAAACCAACACACAAAACCATTGTATTTATAGTATTGTATTTTTTCTTTTTTTTTTATGGTAGGATTTCGTATGGAGACTTTAGGAGTGAAATATTTTGCCCGTTTTAACTCAATTGAGGTCCGCTCCCTTCGCCTTTTTAATCTTCTGAACTCTTCTTTTCACGCATTTACCCTTTTATGTTGATAATTAATTAAATATTGGAGCTATACCTACGGCATATTTTTTTTTATGTGAAAAGTTGCCAAGCGAGCAGACGGTTCACCTGATGTTAAGTGAATACCGCCGCCCATGGACATCTGCTACACTCGAGGGTTGCAGATGCGTTGACAACCTTTTGAAAATTAGGCTTCGGCCACCTCACTCACCACACGAAACGCGAAAGTATTATACTTCCACTTTACGCCGGTCGTGGTACTCACCCGGACGAGCCTGCCCAATCGTGCAGCCGAGACTGCTGCGTGGCCCTACCGTAAGAGTTTTCGTGCTGTTTATAATATAAGATGCGAAGTGTTTACCGGGCGCGGCCCCTCGTCGCGCCATTTTTGTGTGCTAACCTCGCATATTCGTAATGGCGATACAAACGAATACAAATAGTATGGCGATGGCCGCGCCGCGATAAAGTGCGGAACTATCGAAATCGCATAAACACTAACGACGCGTCTCACTCGCAAACTATCGCCGCGATACCTGAATCCCGATGGGAGGGTTGGCGCAATTCAAATTTCGAAGATGGAACGCTCCTGAGTGGATGTTTAATAAAAAAGAACGCTTATTTTTATTTAAAGTTATTAAGAAATAAATCTCATTGTAGGGCTGCCACAATGAGCATGAATGAATTGTTTTAGATGATAATGAATTTAAGAAATGTTTGAAATTAGAACGTAGAGCCGCATTGCTGCAGTTGTTAATTTTTTTGATTACAGATATCGCGAGAATGTATTTATAAATAGATTCTTTGAATAGGACTTAATTATAAAACAAAATTAAAAATTAAAAAAAACAAAAGCACAATTAATTGAATAAACGAATTGGTCGAACTTATCGCAACAGCCCTAACTTCGAGGCATGCGACGCGAGCTCGTAGCGTCGGGCCATCCTTGTGATAACATTAATGACGTCGTAAACTAGCCTTCGGTAGAGGGAGAAGGAAAATAGATAGGCGAGGAACGCGGAAGAATTAACTCTCGTCTAACGACGGAGTAAATCACCTGCGCCGAGGATTCTACCTCTTTAGTGTACCGAGATTGTATATGGCCGCCTTAAATCATAGCATTTCTATGAGTAGCGAGCGATGGATTTCTATTAGGGACCCCTCAACTTGTTTATACATAAATCCTCTCGATACATAAACCTTAATAAACTTTTGAAACTGTCATTCCCATTTAAATGAGGCCTGTTTTAGTATGACAGGTATTTATCAGTTGGAATACCACCAATTGTAATGTATAAAGAGTCTTAAAATCTGTAAATTTATTTGTCTATCAAATTTAATTTCTAATTTGTTTGAACCTTCAAAATGCCTTTTGCCTACGATGCGGAACGAGACGAGTACACTATAATTTTGATTTTCCATAACGGACCCTTACAGCGCTTTAAAGCGCTTCACAAAAATCAGGGCTAATTATTCACCTCCCGCCGCCAGATGGGAGCATTTCATTTGAATAACAAAAGAGCGCTGACCGCTGAATGCAGCGGAAAATGGAAAGATTGACACTGGCCGGCGCGGGGGACGCGGCGCGAGTGTTTAAAGAGCCGATTGGTTTTTAAATTCGGAATTTTATCGGTTGGCGTGTAAAGGGTTGGCGCGAATGGACGCGTTAAACGATTCCACCGCATCTACTCGAATGTAATGAATGTAAATAGATGAAGTTTTAATTACGTATGGAAGTTCGTTGATCATATTACGTTTACGGGCGACGTTTTTCCGAAGTTGATCTGTCAAGTGTTTGACAAAAATTCGAAGCTTTGCTACAATGATACATATGACGTAATTTGTAGTTTCAGTATAAGTTCGATTTATTAATTTTGTATTTAACGTCAATAAAATATAATTGTTTTGAAGAAAAACGTTTTTCAGACTGCTTCGCTATCTTTATATAAACAGCGTAACTCAGAATAATTAAATTTGATGAAGATTTATCGAAGTTATGGTATTCCGAAAAAAAAAAAAAAACCCCCTTTGAGATAGCCAAATCAAATGAAAACATTTATTCATCGAAGTAAGAAACAGACATTTCATTTAACAGGTAATCATTTTTTAAATCTATCACCGCCTCGTAATGAGGTTCCTCTAACGGAGAAGAATTAGGTTACATTTTTAGAAATACGTGTATATACATGTATATACAGGTATATACACGTATATGACGTAATTTATAGTTTGAGAAAGTATTACGTGTATATACACGTATTTCTATATATACGCGTACATATGGACGTGCGGAGTTTTAATATGGGACGCGTGCGCGCGACGTCAGCTGACGGCTTTGACGGATGAGCGCATCAGAGCTGCGAGCACTGAGCGACGGCTCATTTCGAGTGCGACCGTCTACAAAAGGGTCGATCTTTGCACTCTGACATCGCGATTTAATCACGTACTAGAGCGGGGTGGGGTAGCTCGCGAGTCGAGACGCCACTAGAGCGGCCACTCGGCGCATTGTCTGCCGCGGACCTTTTCCGCGATGCGGGGTTAATCGAAGTGAACGACTCTTCGATGGGTGGATGAGGAGCGCGTCGTCATCTACGCCGAACCGATAATGGCGGACGTGCTCGTTTTCGCGCGGCGGCGGCATCGGTTGCGAAACGCGACGCGAAATACGAGTATGCATTTAACCCTGATCGCCGTAATCGTTTAAAAATAAGTGTTCTCCAAATAGCAGCAATAGCCGTAGGGTTATTAAAAAATTTATGGAATTTCAATCTTCTTCTTTGTTAGTTTTTTCAATACATTTTAATTTCTTATTCATTCATTCATTTATAATCGGAGCCTACGCACTTATAACCACTCATTACCATAATGGAGATAGGATAGAATTAATCGGTTGCAAATTTCTTTTGATAAGTCTAAAGCTCACCAATGGCTACTCAGAAAACGAAATCGATTAACAAACTGTGGTAATAAAGATGCTAAGACGAAATGTCTTTTACCTATATTTGTGAAACTTGATATCATCGCTTTTTGACATGAAAACAGTGCACCTCAATCTTCGGTCAGATTATTTAGTTTGAGGTATTCCTATTTATAGCTTTTATCTTGTACTTAAATATAGCGGTCAGAGAAACAAAAATAACTACCAATAAGCAATTTCTACGCTAATTTAAATAATACTATAAAAGTTAAATAGACATTTTTTTAGGTTACTACTAATCTGAGTTACCAAACTGACTTCAGATACGATTGCTCAAATAAAAACGTTTATATCAGTTTTACTTTTAAAAATGTTTTGTGTCAAAGTTTTTAACTGCATGTGATAAAATATTCCAATTGCTAAATGTGCGTTATTCAAGCATTACAAATATAAATTTAACTGTACCTAATATATGACTTCTATAGCTGGGGCAAGGTGGTTAGTCCACAGATAAAATAATCTCTACCTAGATACAGATAATGGGCTTCACATCTCATTCAGCTGAGTAGGTTAATACGTGAGCAGTCACAATGCAACATTCAACGGGAGGACGACTAAAGTCCAAGTTGCGAACTCACGATCCGTAGGGTTGTCAGTCAGAAAATAGTTGAGGCAATCAGACTTTAACTGCAGCTCTTAACTGACAACCCTATGTGTTCGATCTACGTTTGTAAAAATTTAGCTTCCGTATGTTTGTGTGCACAAAACTCAATAACTAGACGATGGATTGACTTGATATTTATTCACAACATAGCTATTGAACAGAAGTGTTTTAATATACTTTTTTAAACGAAAAAAAAAAACACAGTGAAGCGTGGTTGGCCTCAGCTAGTTCTTAATAAATGTAACGAGGTTTTATTCTGCTTATTAACGAAACTCTTAATACATAAATATTATGGTTGTTATGTCGGTCAGCTGCCACGCTTACTCTTACTTTAATCAATTTAAAGCTTTCACGTATACTCTTTTATTTAGGTTCGATGAAAGTCAATTCGTTTATTACGCGGTACCGTGATATATCAACGCGTCTGAGTCGAGTGAATGAAAACGTTTTCATTCACTCAATTCCAATGTCTCACCCCTAACCCGCCAATGGAGTGAAATAGAGCCCGCCTACGCATCACGGACGAATGGAGTGAAAAAATTCCAGTTCAAAATGCCACCGATGCGAGCGCCGCTAGCAAAAAGTCCGCCATTGTCGCGTGCCGTGATATATGTACGCGGGAATGTTTTTTTTTCGGTGCACAGACTAAAAAGCACTCTATAGAACAAGAGGCATTCGCATCGGAACATAAAGCCTTTGCCCATGGATTCGAGATTTTGAATATATTAAGCTTCTTGTTGTCGTATCTCACTGCTTTTATGTGCACATTTTTTGGTTAATGATCCCAGTTCCCAATGCATTAATAATTTGTTTAAAAAAATAAGAATAGTATCTGAATGTATTATAAATTTCAAATTCTTTGTTCAATTTTTTACCTATTACTTATTCTACGAATTTTTAGTTTTGAGGAGAAACCAAACTCATTTTAAAGAAAGAATAAGTTTTTTTTTATACCTACGCAGATTTAAATTTCGAATTTGGAATACCGCTGCAGCAATCCACTGGCCCTATTCGGGCGAATACATTTTGTGAGCTAAACACAATACACCGCATTGATTACAATGTATAATCACGGCCACAAATCTCTGTTGCGCTCATAAAGCAATGTAATGATAGATAATCGATAGATCGTTGGACGGGGTCGGCACAATGGGCAGCGCCCGCGGGACTTGAAAGCCGAACTCCTTTTTTTGTGACACGTGTCGTAATACGACACCAGTGTTACGGCGCCCTAATTTCGGTTGCTCGTAATTATTTAATTCGGCCCGCTTTTTGCGTGGTGATAGTGATTCAAGTTGTGTTGGTTTTTATTATTTTCAATACTGCGGTTTACATGGAGCTTTTAGCGATTTGCTCTTTAGATATAAAAGGCCTAGTAATTTGAATGGAGAATATTGTTCGACGGGATCAGGATATTAAAATTAATAAAATTTAACCAGATTCATACAGGATGGTACTTGATTACATAAATGTGAAGATACTGTAAGCGCTTTTTTTGTAAATGTAAACAATCGAATGGCCGCTAAAATACTAAACGGAATTATTAAACGCCTAAATCCGTCACGTGAAGCTTAATTTAAAATTATGCTGTGGTAAATGACCGTTCAGTTTTAAAAACAGTGCAAAAAACAGGCGTCCTCCGAAGAACGCCATGTTCTATCTCGTACATTGCCTCCAGAGACCAAATCGAGTGTGACAACAATTAAATCGATTAAGTATATTAAAGTGGGGATTGTTGTTACATAATTGCTTATTCGGCTCACTTTTCAAGTGACGTTCGGGGATTGGGTTCGGCTTTGACGCGATCGTTAGGATTAATAAAAAACACGGCGCGCGTAACGAAGCGTCGTACCGTCGGCCATGCGGGCTGCGGGACTAAAAGGCGAAACAGGCGCGGGAAAAAAAAACAAGATGGCGTCGCACCCCAGCTTCGGGGGCGTCGGCGCGACTCAGCGTTTTCGGGAATGAGCTTAAACGTTGAAAACCCAATTTGACGCTCCGATTAGCGCGCCGTTTTCGTGTGACGTGATTGATTTCGTAGTGGGCATTGGCTTACAGCGATTCGCCGCGCTCAACGAACGACCCGAATTTCTGCTACAGCCTTAACACTAGTACCGGTTCGCGGAAATTGTTCGATTTCTGGCTACGTTCTTTTTACGGCTACACAACTGATGGTTACTATACATAAATACCGGTAAAAGGCGATGAAGCCGTGGACTGTTTTAACCACTACACTTATTCCTAATTTCTTTAAAGTCTGCAGGTAAATGCATGTATGTCAATATACATACACAATTCCTTTGGTTTCCTCTACGGTAAGCGCACTGACTCATTCCAGCCTATTCATTGTAATGAACTATTAAATGACTACATAATCGCTGTTATTTCTGTTTACTGGTCAAAAAGCTTCTTTTATCGGTAAACGCGCTGGCTACATTCAGGCGCTCGGCTAACTTTTACCGCGACCGGCTAAAGCACGTCAATCCGCGCGCTGTCCAGCGACGTGCGCGTACAGTCGTGCACGGAGGGCCCATTGTGCCCAATTCGGGTCGGGAGTTAATTGTTTTTAATTCGCGGGGCGCTGTCGCTTTTAATTACGCCCACGGCGCTGCGCTAATGGCGCCATCGTGAGCGTACGCGTCCGATCGCGATACGTTCAAGCCGCTTCGTACTGTCGCGCGCGTAACTGTTTAACGATTAAATATCAATTGTTAAGCATTTTCATTTATTATTTATTTCGTTTATTTATATACATGCGACGGGATTAAGCCGTGCGGTCGCTTTTGAAATCACTACAGTCAATCAAATTACGACATCAAATACCTGAAATAATATTGATGCGATTTTAAATGCTTACAAAAAAGATTTTATTTTTTATTTTAATACAATACTTTTTAGTGTAGGCATTGATTTATACTTTACCGGCGGTTCTCAGCTCAAGAAGCCAACAATTTTTTTCTACTTAGTTTTATTGCGTGATTTAGCTTTTTACATTTAATTCAACGGTGGTAGGACGACGCAGCAGCCACGGCTGTTGCACGAATGGGCAGGTCCGTCCGGATAAGTACCACGACCTCACAGAAGACCAGCGTAAAGTGGAAGTATGACAAATACTTTCGCGTTTCGTTTGGTGAGTGAGGTAGCCGGAGACCAATTTTCAGAAGGTTGTCAACGCATCTGCAACCCTCAAGTGTGTGTAAATGCTTATTTTTGTACTTTTCACTTCTCTACCTATCTCAAGTTTTGCTCTTTTAGTGTATCCATTTGTGAAAACTTGTAAATGGCTGTCTCTTTTCAATTTATTTACATCTTAATCATTGCATGTTAGCTGTATGTTTTCCGTGAATAAATAAAACAAGAAAACATAGGTATCATATATGCTATACATCTGCTTTCTCTATTTGTGTCAAAGTTGTTATAAATACTTTGATTTCAATGCTATTTACTTAATTTTACAGAGATTGCTTCATCGTTATGAATAACTGTTACAAATTATTCAAATATACCGTTTGTTGACATTATGTACCTGTCTGTATCTTTTATATGTCGATTTGTTGAAATGCAAATGCGATCGACTGTACTTCGGGGACAGGTAGACTAGTACAGTCGGAGTCCGGCCTCATTTGGTTAATACAGTCTCTGTTCGGAACTTCAATTAAACGGGCACAAAACGAGAACACCGCTTTGTGCGCACGCTGAGGGGAATCACGACCGTCCCGAAATTAACGATTCGCGCGCTTTTAATGAGATTTTTTTCATTAGTACCGACTCCACGTATTTAACTTTAAGGCATCGGTAGTTGGACGTACGGCCAGAGACTTTCCGAATTTAAATTTCGAACGCACCGTGTGATAGAGCACTGCCAACATTACAAAAAAAAGAAAAACGATTTTACTTTTTTTTTTTAATGCAAACTACATAATTATGTTAACATTAGATAGACATCGAATTAAAATTTCGAGCGCTTCCTTTGAATAAGCATTGTCGGTTATCCACGAAAAACACCGTATAAGTAATAAGTAAAAATCCCTTAATTATTTGTTTGTAATGATCGTTTACGATAGTTCTATCTCTCGATTAGAACCTTTGCATTGGG